AGTTTTTCAGCTGCCGAGGATGGGAGTAGGGGCTGGAGCAGCACCCTGCAGGGACGCTCCACAGGAAAATCTACAATTCTGATGTTCTCAGCCCCTGGGTGCAATTTCCTGAGGGCACAGGAACGTCTGGCACCCCTGGGCAGCTTGCTGGGGGAAGCTCCGTGGAGGAGGATGTCCCGAGGTCGGTAAGATCCAGGAGGGGTCTGCTGGGGGGCGGGAATGCTCTGAGCAAGGTCCCGGAAGTGCAGAGCTCCTGAGGGATCCGGGACCAGGGGCACTGGGGAGTTTCAGAGTTGGTCGCCGCCACAGCCCTCACAAGTGAGGCTGCTCTCTGGGACTGGCCACCTTCTCGCCTCGGCCACTTCACAGTCCTGGGGGGCAGCTGTGGCTCTTGCTGGGAACCAGCTGAACCTCCCTGGGGCTTGGGGGTGGGGTGGTGCTGAAGTGAGGCTCACCCGTCTGTGGCTTACTCCCGCCACCTAGAGGCCACTATTCCTCACAGGCTCCGGGGCCAGTCACCTGCCGCCGCCGGGGGGGCAGGACCTCCCCACGGGATTGCAGTTTCTCTGATCACCGGGATGGGCCTACACCTCTCCCCCTGCAGCGGCTGCTTCCACGCAGGACTGGAGCATGTCAGAGTTCGGGGCTGCTGTCATAGGGGAGTGGCTGCGGCCTGCAGGTCAGAGGCACCCGACTTCTTTTGCTAACCCCCTTCCCTGCCTGTCCTGTCCACCCCTTTCTCTCCATCACCTGCCCCTGCCATGAACCATGAACCAGTGACCCCATCCACACCTGTCTGACCAGGCTCCCCACGTGCCCTGACGTAGCCCCGTAGGCTGAGCCCACAGCTGACATCCCTTCCTGGGGAATTCCCAACCTGCCAGCCATTGTTCTTCAGACACCCCAGCATCTTGACCTCCCTCTATCTGCAGCCTCTGTGGGCCGGGCCTCCACTAGGACCCCCTGAGACATGTCAGGCTCCTCACGAGCTCTGTCTTGTGTGGCCATGCCCAGGGCCCCAGGAGGTAGAAGACCAGCGGGCATCTCATGGAGGAGGAAAAAGGGCCCAGAGAGGGACTTCCGCTCCGGCTCAGCAAGGGAGTCCCAGTTCCCGGAGTCCTTGTTGAGGCCCCTGCTCCACGGTGCACAAGGTAGAATTCATGGGATCATAAAGGAAACCAGTTCTACCAACACACGGTTAGGAAAATACTTTCTTCAAGTGTGATATCAAAACCCAAGTGCTTCTTTACCAAGAACAAGATGTGACCCACTGGGCAGCCTCTGCAGTTCCAGCAGCAGCCAGCGTGTGGGCACGACACAGTTCCCATCCGTGCCAGCTCAGCACGGGCCCAGATGACCAGATTTGGTTCTAGGCCTTGTTCATAACTGAACGAACAACACTTTTCTGCTACAGGTTGGTATAAAGGAGATGATGGGCCGGACGCGGTGGCTCACGCCTATAATCCCAGCACTTTAGGAGGCCGAGGTGGGCAGATCACCTGAGGTCAGGAGTTTGAGACTAGCCTCACCAATATTATGTAACTCGTCTACTAAAAATATCAAACATATTAGCGGCTGGTGTCATGCCATGTAATCCCAGCTACCCTCGGGGCGCGGGGGAGGTGAGACAAACGATTGCTTGAACTTGGAGTGGAGTTGCAGGTGTAGCCGAGATTCGTGTCACTGCGACTCCAGCCTTGGGCACAAGAGCGAACTCTGTCTCAAAAAAAAAAAGAGTGGAGATGATGTTTCTTCCAGCCAGTTTATTTTCTGTCCAGAAGGTTTGGTCTCTTGCACTCCCTGGATTGTTGACGACACTTGCACCCCACCAACACTTCACCAGGACTGGTACTTGCCCCTCTGCCTCCTCTTCTGCCCATACACTTCTTAGGAACTTGCAGCCTTCTGGGCGCTCAGTTCTCCTCCGTGCTGTTGGGCTGCACCCCTGCCCGAGGGAGGGGCCTTCTCTGTGCGTCTAGCCCTTGCCAGCATCTCCGGGATCTGCAGTCCCGAATACCTTGGAGGTCTCCCCCACCCCAGCTTGAGGGCTGGCTTCCTTCCGTTGGTCCTTCAAATCAACCACCTCCGGCTGTTGGAGAAGCCTGTGTGTCTCGGGCCAGGCAGGCCAGCCATGGAGCTGTGTCCAGTGTCTTCATGGATGCGTGGGGAAAGCTTTGAATCCCTGGCCACCCCGTACTGTCTTGAAAGCCACGATTTCTGGGTTGCCGGCCGGTGTCCGGCACAAGGCAGTTCCAGTGCGCTTCTACCAGGACCCTGGGCAGCTCCTTCGTCTGGTTGGCCAGCCATTTAGGATGTTGGCTGTGAAGAAGGGTGGGGTGGCTTCCAGCTCGTCTCTCGTGTGCCCTGATGAGGTGGTACCCTTCTAAGCTTCCTATAATGCCCAAACCATGGGGAATTATCTTGCCACGAGGACTTGACATTGATGTCTAGGCCTTGGAAGTCTATGCCCAGCTCAGTGAGGACAGGAAAGTCCAGTATTGGAAAAATGTGTTCAATG